ATAGTTGAGGTATATCTATGATGAAAATTACCGGCCTCTCTCATCTTTTTAAGTGGGAGAACTTGCACTATTGTTGGCTGACTAAATACTTTTTTGCCCCACTGTAAGTTTATCCAAACAATACCTGTTAGAGTACCATCCAAACATAGCTAAGGGAAACAACAATTGTTCAATGTATTTAACCTCATAAACTCACTATGGTCATGTGACAGATCAAGTGAAATTTTATTTTCCTCAGACTCAAAAGAATTCAACTCTGTGGTGTTAACATCCACTTGTTTTTTGACATCTGAAAAAGGATTATCAGAATGAGATGAAATTCCACCACCTTCAGCTTCTTCTTTTTCACCTATGATACAAACAAAATCGCTGTAAGAAACCTAGTTATGCCCAAACGGTTTCATGTATTTTCATTAAGACTTACTCTGTAAAACAGTGCACTTTTAATAAGTGATGGTAAGATACAATTTAGCTTTTCTAAAAGGACATTTTAGATCTGACTTCCAAGAGCAGTTATAAATTTAATGGGTGAACAATAATGGTCAATGCATTTTAGCTAATATGTACTCACTTTGATGGTCTGACATGTCAGATTAAGACTCCTTTCTTTTCTCAGAGTCTGCAGGATCACCCTCCTCCACCTCAGTATTTTTTCCAAGCACATTTACATCCATTTTTAATTTGTCATGTGTATAAGGCTGATAAAGATTATGTGTTTTTAAAGCAATTCACTCAAAAAATACCTGCTAAAATAATATCTCTAGCATGTATTTTCTTTTCTGGTTACGAGCCGTGCCAAGCTTGTATCGGTTAACTGTGCCGAGCTCTGTTCCTGACAACCATTTACACAGCACGCCTGCATGGTTCCTCGTCTACTAGAGACGATCTACAGTACTACTGCTCTCTAGAGGTAAACAAGAGAATCTACATGCCGGTGAGGTTGAATTAATAGCACCATTCAGTAAATGGGGCTACTAATACAGCCATCATGTATAAACTTAAGTATAATGTTGAAATAAAGTACCCAAAACAGTACCCAGACCAGATGATGTCAGTGGGGACTAGTAATTTACCTGAATATCAAAAATTTTATGCTTATTTTACAAACATTGAAACATGTTTGATCAGGGAACAAGGAGGACTTGAGAACAGTGCAGAAATAACTGAGGAAGAAAATCAAGGATGGGAAGAACAGCTACAAGAAGAAGATGGAGGATCAGCTGCAGAAGAACATTAGAGGAATCTAGAAAAGCCTGAAGACAATAGTCCCATTTGCTCTGCCCTTTTGAGACCATAATGGTCAGCCCACCATTATGAGTGTACATGGATTAGAATTTTGGGTCTTTCACAGAGTTTTGGGTCTTTCGCATGACAAGATTGCTGGTAAAAAATTAAGGGTTTGATCTGACATGTTACCATATTGGCTGTGTTTTTCTTGGGTTTGAGGCAGAAGTTGACTTTTTTCCTCACTGTCACGCAATGCCGCTGAAAAGCATAAAAGAAATACACGGTTTAATGAAAATGACTAGAAATTCATTGAAAATCACAATCATACTAAAACAGGCAAATGCTTTACATGTTCCAGATAAATATCTTTCATGATTTAAACAAATACTCAAAAAGAGGAAAATCAAATAATTACTTTTCCTAATCTGTCACTATTGAACTGCTACTTTGTTTAGTTAAAGAATACAAATGTTCCTATTAATTGGCTCCAAATGCTTTGAAAAAGCTTTAAAAAGTACTGGCTGAGATTGCTAATTTAGAATTTAAGTTGCTGCTTAAGATATTAATTTTGGTTGGCAGTTTTTCAGCAAAAAAAATATTAACAGCATACAAACTAAAACTTTAAAAGGCTTTAATGAACTATTTTTTTTTGTTTTGTTTTTTCAATTCATCTCCCAGACAATGCACTGAGACATAACATTTGTCATACCATGAGGTGGATGATTTTCCACATCGGGCTTCGTTCCATCTAGAATGAAGAAAACAAGATCAAATTTTAGACAGCCACTTAAAATCAGTAGGTGTTGAGGTTTGTTCAGTAATACAGCAAATATATAAATTTTGGTAAGTTAAAAATATATTTTCCCCTTAAAAAACAAAAAAATAACAAATTAACATTCAAAATACAAATATGTATACATTTATTCTACAACCCATCCATTTGTTAAATCTTTAACAATTAATTACAATACACAGTAGGGAATATAAGAATTAAAGACATGAATGCTTTTCTTTATACTGTTAATAAGAAATCTAAACCAGATATGAGTAACAAAACAGTGAATCTGCATACAGATATTTAAACTTATGAGCCCAGAATTTATTTGAAATTAACTGAAATGATAAATACAGGAACATTACCTAAAAACATATCAGATTACTTTTTAGGCAACTGTTTTGACAGTGATAGCTGCATCTACAGACATCTCATGTGTGAGGAAACTAGCTGCTT